TCATCCTGTAGGACCCAGTAGAATGCTCCCCCAGGCTTTTCCATCGCTGGGAATAGATGGGTTTTTAACTTTTTATTGTGATTTGGGTGAGAGTTTATACAGTAATTTGATTTTCCATTCAATAGTTGATGCACATTTTGATTTGTGTCTCACCGTTTTCTCCTCATTGCACCAAGCCCTCATCCATCATTGATGGAGCGATCACTCGCTCCACACTTAAGCCCCGAGATGATTAGCTCATCCCTGCCAGTCGCTGTCCTAGAGAGATGTAAAACCCCAAAGACTAATGCACGGATTGATTGTCCTCAAAAATCTCTGTGGAGTGCACTTAGAATTGGGAATGTCTGCAGTAGTAATTCACAAAGTCTTAAAATGCCCACTTGAGAACTCGACTATTCGGCGGACGAAAGTTTGCTCTTTTGCAAGTTCATTCAACAAGCAAGTCTTTTTTTGTTGAAATATGTGGATGTTCTCCATAAACCATAATTGCACACAGGCCGCATAAATATTGTTTCTTTATTGGATTTGTTGCAGAAGTAAGGGCCTCTTTTGTTTAAATGGACTTGCTTTTGAACTGTGAAAATGTAATGGTGCTGCTTTATTGGTTCAGCTCTGGAGAAGCTGCGAAGAAGCTATTATGCTGCAGCCAGGGCTATTTATATCCCATCACCGAGAACTCCTTTTTATGTTATTGGTGTTACTGCATACTATAAAAGGAGTGTTAAAAGAAAACTTGGGATTTTCTTTTCTTTCTTTCTTTCTTTTTTTTTTTTTGTTCTGTGGCCTTAGCCGCCACATTGATATTTTTAGAGGTTATTTCATCTGGCACTATCTCTTCAGAAAAGGCTTTATCTCTTTCACAGTCGGGGTAGACAAGAACTCAGCTTGAAGCCTTTCTTTCTCAAGTCTTTGCATTGGAAGGGGAAAAGGCTCTGAGAGAGTGGAACTCTATGAATTGAGCCTCTCTGCCCTTATCCCCTGCCTGATCAACATGTCTGCTTCATTGAGGGGACAGATGGCCATACATTTAACCCAGGAGGCCTTCAAGAAATGAAGATTTAAGCAGCTGTTTGGATTTCTCCATGCATAAAAAGAACTATCATTGTAAGAGGTTGGTCCTCACTTCTGTTCTGTGTCCAGAGAAAACTGTTATCCCACTTCAGTGTAGTTTCGGAAGTGTTAATGCTGACCAGGGTGGGCGGGACACTTCCTGCTGTAGACAGCTGCCGAATTGGACAAGTGCAGACAAGGACTGGCCGCAGAATGGCTATGCCAGTGACTGGATTTGTGCGCCAGTGATGGGAATGAAATGATGAAGCTTGGAGGACAAACCAAGATCTGAAAGAACATCGGAGCATCATTTCATAGTCCTGTAACAGTTAACTTTGGGAACACTGTAGATTGGCAGTCCTGAGAGTGAAATAGTTGAAGCTGAGAAAAACTTTCGGTTCAGGCAGGGATGCGGGGCCTCCCCTGCTGGAGGACTCGCAGGCAGCGTGTTGGCGGCTCATGCGGGCGCTGTGTGCTGAGTGTGCGTGGATCCTTTCAGCTGCCCACAGCCCTAGGTGGCAGGGATCCTGCTTGGTACTGTCCTCTCCAGTGATGGACATCTGTGTGCATGAGAATGTCTCTACATTCTGTTAACCATCCATCTAGTCACGTCACCATCAATATCCTCCTTTATGCAGATGACACAGCCTTGCGTGCTGAAAGCGAGGAGGGCTTGTACAGTTGTTGCAGAAGGTTAAATACTGCCGTGTTCAATATGGGTTGTATCTCAACATCAAGAAGCCAGAAATCCTCACCACTGGACCAGTAGATGGACAGAGAAAGAATTGAGACTGTCAGTGACTTCATATTACTTGGATCCACAATCAGTCTATAAAAAAGATCAGGAGACATGATGCACTGGGGAATTCTGTAGTCAGGGACCTCTCCAAATTATTGAGGAGTAATGATGTCAGTTTGAAGACTAAGGTATGCCGGATTCAGGCTATGGTCTTTTCAGTCACTTGCTATGCATCTGAGAGCTGGACAGTGACTAAGGATGACAGCAAAAGGATTGATGCCTTTGAGCTTTGGTATTGGAAAAGAGTGTTGAATATCCCATGGACTACCAAAGATAAAACAGATACGTCTTGGGGAAGGTGCAGCTAGAATGCTCCTTGGAGGCAAAGGTGATAAAGCTTTCTCTCACATTGTTGTTGTTGTTACGTGCCTTTGAGTTGCTTGCGACTCATAGTGACCCTGTGTACAAGAGCCCTAAATGCTGTTCTATCCTGTGCCAACCTCGCCGTCTCAAACACACTCAATTCCCACCACTCCACTCACAGAATCAATCCATCTCATTGAGGGTCTTCCTCTCCTGCGCCGCCCCTCCACTCTCCCAAACGTGATGTCCCTCTCCAAGGACTAGTCCCTCCTTGCAACATGCCCAAAGTATGTCAGACGAGATTCAGAATCCTCGACTCCAAGGAGCCTGGACATATTGCTAGGAGAGGTTACTTCTTGGATATCATGCTTGGGAAGGTGGAGGCACAGCAAAACAGAGGAAGACCCTCAACCAGGTGAGTAGACATAGTGACTACAGCAGTGGGCTTGAGTGTGTCAGAGATTGTGTGGATGACATGAGATAAGACTGTTCAGGTGGGATGTTCATAGGGTTGCTGTGAGTCATACTCAGTGGTACCGAACAACAATAAAAACAAGTCAGGTGATCATTGGACAACTTGTTATGTTTCCCTTTCAGGTTATTACCCCTTGATGACAGATACCATAATAGTGTGTAAAGTTCCATTTCCATTGTCTCTTGTAACATGAAACAGTATCTTTCAAAAGACATGATAGACTAAGGCTCTTTTCTTTAAAATTCAATCAGTTACGTCCATCTTTGTGTTATGCGGGAGAGGGATAGATGTTGAGCTTTATGACAGCAAGTCAGTTTGTGAAGAGCCATACAGAAGATAAGATGCAATATAATTCACCTTCTGTCCATTAACATCTTGAACTATGGCATAAAGTTTTATGTTTTTATTCTAGAAATACAGCTGACATTAGCATTCAGGTATATAGTTCAGTTTATCTCTGCCGAAAACTCTTTTAAAATTGAGTTAAATACAGCACAAAGGACACAGAAAATCAATAATATTTCATCCCTGTTAAGTAAGGTCTTTCTATATACATTTGCTTGAGGTGCTTATAAATTTCTCCCTTTATAGAAGTGTTTTATAATAAATGTCAGTTATAGATTCAACCGTAACAAAAAAATATTTGTGCAGATTCTATACTACTTTTCATATATCAGGTAAGAAACTACTTAAATGTGTAGGAAATAGTGGTCTAGTTTGCTAATTGGTGTGGTGGTGTTGCTTTTTTTTTTATAAAACTGATATTAAAGGGAAAACTGTTGGCACTTTAATATTAGAATATTGTAGAATTCATAAGTGTAATACTGAGATTTTTAAAGCTTGCTTTCTTAGTAGATTAATTGCGCATCATAGTTTCTTACACAAATTTGGGTGCTGTAAATTTCTGGAGATTTATGTGAACTTGATGCCAATGTTTTTCCTTGTTATTAGATTATTCTCATACCAGTGATATGATAGATTTAGTTACCTTAGTTTTCTCACTATAGTCTAAAAATTTTCATCCTGGTATTGCAATGAGGTGCCACTGAGTTGGATAGGACTCACAGCAACCTGATGAGTAGTGGATCTGAATCTTCTCTGCCCTGTGTCACGTTCATCATCTTTGATATACTTGAGCCTGTTGGTACCCGTCTTGCTGAAGACTCGCTTTCACTGACACTTGTCTTTCCGAGCATGATGGTTTTTTCTGAGGACCAGCCGTTCCTAACAACCTACCTAAAGTATGTGAGATGAAGTTTCACCATCCTTGCACCTAAGGAGCCCCTTGGTTGCACTTTCTCCAAGGCATATTTGTTTATTAGTCCATGAGATATTCAGCACTCTTCTCCAAGACCGTAATGCAAAGGCATCAGCTCTCAGATGGAAAGCAAGAAGTTGAAAAGACCATGACTTGAATCAGATGTATCTTAGTCTTTAAACTGACATTCTTGCTCCTTAAGTACTTTGGAGAATTCCTTAACAGCTGATTTCTCCCAGTGCAACACTTCTTTTAATTTTTTGGCTGCTGGCATCAAGGGTGTCAATTGTGGATCCAAGTAAAATGACATCATCTACAATTTCAGTCTTTTCTCCATCTATCATGATGTTGCCTAAGGGACCAATGACGAAGATTTTGTCTTGTTGATGTTGAGATGTAATTAATTTTGAAGCCTATTGTCATTGATCTTCTGCAGCAAGTGTTTCAAATCTTCTTTACTTTCAGCAAGCAAAGTTGTACCAAAGTTGATGAGTCTTCTCCCATCTGATGCCACATTCTTCCTCAGATAGTCCAACTTCTCAAGCAATTTAATTAAGGAGGTGGGTTCAGGAAATCTCAGAAGAGATATGGGAACAAATTCTTTTTCTCTCTGTAATTGGTGCAGTACACCTTTGCTTTCTTAAATTTTTCATACTTTAGGCTACATACTGATGGCCGAGTGGCAAGAAGCTGTGCTGCATTCCTGAAGGCACATGGTTTGAGGCCACCAGTTGTTCCTTGGGAGAAAGGTGGGCAGTCACCTACCATGCAATTAACTGCCTCTCAAAACCTTTCAGAGGGTCAGCTATGGGTTGGTTCTGACTCTACGGTAAACACTACCACCACCACCACCACCACACTCTTTGAATAGGAGAGATGCGTAGTGAGGGAAATGTGTTGGCTCTGTGGTTTCTTTATCTAAATCCTGACGTCTATGACAATTATGCCAGGTTTGCATCTCACTAGGTTGATGCCAAAGGAGAGCCGTGTTCCCAGGGCACATGGATGAATTAATTCCCAGCATGATCTTCTACTGATCAGATTTTGTCTTACTAAATATTTTCAAGGTACAGTTGGTGTTTGTTTGATTTAAATGTGCCATTTTGTTGTTGCAGGAGATGTTTTCCTATTTGTCCAGTGAACTAAAGAAACTGTCGGAAGCTTATAATGAGAGATTGTTGCACACACCTCATAACCCCATCTCTTTAGGTAACTTCTTTTTTCCGAAAAATCCATACAGGCCGTCACCTAGTTATAAGCATCTGGCTTACTTAGAAACCAACCCCTGTAAAGCCTGTTTCATTAGTTATATTAAAAATCGGGGGTGCATGCAGTGATTTGTGATTGGAAATGGGAACTCCTTTGTGATGTGCATCAAAATATCCTTCTTACTGTATTATGTTGAAGATGTTTTACCGTGTGTGGAAGTGCTTCTGCAATGCTTATTTACGTTAGCATGCTATATATAACACATATTTGACTGGTGTTAAATAGGAACCTGACTGTTCACTTATGTCCAAGTTTGACTTAAAAACAGGCTTAGGAATGAACTCGTTTATAATCTGGTGACTGCCTGTATTTTGAAACATCCCAAGAGGAAACTGGTTTATTTATAGAGATAATTGTCTATTCTTAGGTTACAATGGTATTTCCCTGATTACAGTAGTAATTTGTAAGTTGAGAACACTTAATTAGGCATTAGGAGTATTTCTGTGTGTTTCTTAAATGCAGCTCACACACTGAAAGAATCAGACTCTCAAATGATGTTGTAACTATGTGGAAAATAATGCATGAAACCCTTCTTCTCACCAAAACTGCTTAATCACAGAACTCTGTATGAATTACTAGAACCAGGAGAAAGTAAAGATTTTCTTTTGTTAATTGTTCTTAATGATTGTTATTATCTTGTACTGCTACATATTGAAGAAATTTGTAGAGATATTGTTTCTATACCATGTAGTACAAAGACTGGTAATAAAAGGATAATTGAATATTGACATTTACACTATGAAGTAACCTTTAAGCTTCACAGCTGTTTCTTAGAATATGTGAATATGTGTAGTGGAATCTCTTTTCTATTTTACATTTACCGCAGTGAGGAAAGTGATTCACTTATAACTGAAATATTTTCTAGGTATGAGGTGTCATGGAAAAAAAAACATCCCAGGCAGTTTTTAATCTTTATAGATTTTATTATTTTTTTAATCTTTATAGATGTTGTACAGGATGGCATGGTGTGATTCTAATTCCAGTTCTGCCATGTGTTAGCTTCCAACCTCCTTGTCTCTGTCTGTCAGATAGAAGTTACAGTCCCTCAGATGCAAAATAGTTGAAAGAATGGTCACTATGATTATGCACTGCGAGGTAGCCTTCAGTACTTGGTGGCAAGTAATCCTGATACCTCTCTTTCTGTCTTATATTACCATTGACTTGGAACTGACTCCTGTTTGATTCGCCATTGGTTTCCCCAGGTTGTAAGTAGCAACGAAAGAGGTTAACCCCCTTTCTCCCATGGAGCCACACTGATGGATTCAGATTGTGAGAGAGATACAATTTTTTTTTAATTAATATTTTTGTCATTCAGATACACTATTTTTCATAATGTACATTGTGTTCCATACAGTCTTTCATTTACATTGTATTTCATTCCTTTTTATTTTGGAAATTTTCCCCCCCTTTACAGTTATCCCATCAACACTACTTTTATGAAAGCGGGTAAGCTAGCTGCTTCACCCCTCACGCCCAGTCCCCTTTTATATGCTCAGTGATGACTTGCGCGTCCCTGATTATCAAACCAGTGCTCTGAGGGAACAAGCTCGTCCTTTTTGCTCAAGGATCCTCTGTTCAACTTGGAAACTTTGAGCTTCTGCAGCCATCAGCGAAATCTAATCCAGAGCAAGCCGTCAGGTTGCAGCAGTCGGCCCTAGCTCATAGCACAGATCATCTTCTCTTGATCTGGTTGGATTCTGGTCAGCTCGTTCCCAGCCATCCATGGCTAGGTTCAAACAGGCATCATTTGCACACTCAGGAGTCTTCCCCTTGTGTTCCAGACCTGTTGGTCTCCCTCACTCAGCCCTCACTCCCACAACTTTTGTTAATGCAACTCTATAGGCTAGGAGCTCCCTAGTGATTGTGATAGGAATAGAATGCAATGTGCTTGTACAGCCCCTGAAGGAAGTCTCCATGTGGAGATTGTGTTCGTTATACACACGTACGCACATCAGAATACAAAATATACTATCTTGATAGGAGTAAAAAAACTGTTTGTGGTGTGTCATTGATAATACATACCAATTCTCATTTTACAAGTTCTTAAAATTTGGTTAAGCGTAACTAAACTGCCAGTACTGGTCATGCTATTGTACATTCTATTGAATTGGAAAATCACTGTCCACAGTGGTAATGTGTAAGCACTACTTCAGATTCTAAACATGTTCCTTTTGCATATATTTTTGTCTAGTAGGTAAGCATGTCTCATCCATTCTTTGAGCTCTTCAGAGTGAAGTTGTGTCACGTGGCAAGGACTAAAAAGGAATGCCTTCCTCATTGCAGTTTTGTTTGGTTTTTTACTGATTCTGTATGAGTCAACAAAACTTATTCAGATACTTTGTTTTTCTCAGCTATGACACTTGAGACACTGGATGAACACAGTTACAAAGCTGTCACTCAACTTGGCTCAATGCTGTTTACCCGACAGGTGTCTGGGGCCAGGTACGTATGTTTAAAGAAGCTGACTTTATCTTGCACATTACCATCTAAAGCAGTAGTCCTCCAGAGTGCACGGAGAACTGTGAGAATTCATCCTGGGCTAAGAGAGTGACAAAATAATGAATCTATGAGGTTGTCATCAGTAGCCATGTCTGTGTTGCCTACACTGGTAATAGTCATGGAAATCCCAGGACTCTGATTTTTCCATAGACATACAGAAATGAAATTGCTATTTCATCACAAGATACTGTCTTTATTTTTCCTTTATTAAGTGATCTTCATATTGTGGTGTTAAAAAGAAGCCATGCTATTATTCAGTATGAAATTAAAGTGAAAATATTTCTGTGTCTGTAATCAAACTCCTACTGTGTATTGTATTATTGTATATTCCCCTTCCAGATGGATTTTCTTGACTTTGTTTTTAGTGTTATCACTGTTTACTTTCTATGTTTAGGTTGATTACCTTCGTCACTTTTTTTTTAAACTTCTTTATTTTTCATTTCAATGAACATCTACAGAGATTTTGGAATTCCATTCATTTATTGTTGCACCCCTCTCCCCGCCTCCCCCCTTTTGCTCCTCTCCTTCAAACGCAAAAGAAAAACTCCCTCATTGGTACGCAATCCCCCACGCACATCCCCCAACCCCCAAATATAATCCATTCTGCAACCCTCATTCCGTACTCTTACGATAAACATAATGCCCTAAAATATAAAATATTCTCTCCCCCAAAGACTTCAATGCCGTAAACATATTTCATCCAGTTTTTCTTAGTCTTACCCCCATACTTTTTTTTTTATTAAAGTATGTCATTGGGAATCTGCTTCTGTCTGAGCATGCTAATGGAATCAAGCTAGGAAAATAGATGTGTCATAAAGTAGACCGTTTACAAGCTGCTTGTGCTGAAGATGGCTGTTTGCTCCCCACTATTACGCTATTCTGCACAGTTACATAATTTTTTCCTGGGTTTTTGCTCTAATACCCTTTGACAGAGTGTGGAAATCTTCGAACAATAGCACATACAATCAAAATCCTGCTGAAGATTATCCAAAAAACGACTGGAACAGTTCATCAGTAGAGAACTTCCAGAAGTGTAGGGTGGGTTTAGAAGAGTCCTTGGCACTCGGGACATCACAGCCAGTATCAGATGGATCTTGGCTGGAAACAGAGAATACCAGAGGAATGTCTGTGTTTCAGTGACTATGCAGAGGCGTTTGACTGTGTGGATCACAGCAATTGTGGCTAACCTTGAGAAGAACAGGAATCCCAGAACAGCTGGTTGTGCTCATGTGAAAGCTATAGGTGGACCAGGAAGCAGTCATCAGAACAGAGCAAGGAAACACTGCATAGTTCAAAATTACGAAAGGAATGCATCATGGTTGCATCCCTTCAACATCCCTTTTTTATCTATATACATAACAGATTATTTGGGAGGCTGGACTTTATGAGGAAAAAATGTAGCATCATCATTGGAGGAAGACTCCCAACAACCTACTCTTTGCAGATGCTAAAACTGAGGAGGATCTGAAGCATTTTCTGCAGAAGGTCAAGGACTACAGTCTTCAATATGGATTGAAGCTCAACATCAAGACAGATTCTCACCACAGGGCCAATTGGCAGCACCATAATGGAGACGAGATTGAGGTTGTTAATAATTTCAGCTTGCTTGTTTCCACGGTCAACACTCTTGGCACCAACAATCAGGAAATTAAAAGAAATTGCATTAGGGAAATCTACTGTCAGGGACCTCTCTAATAACTGTCAGCAAACGCTCTAATTACTAAGGAGCAGTGATATCAGTCTAGAGACTAAGATGTGCTTGATTCAGGCCATAGTCTTTGCATTTATTTGCTATGCTTTAGACAGCTAAGCAAGACAAAAGGATGACAAATACCTTTGAGTTGTGGTGCTGGAGAAGAGTATTTAACCGGCAAGAGAACAAATAGGTCTGTTCTGGAGAGGGTGAAACCAAGCTTCTCCTTAGAAGCAAGGGTTTTGAAGCTCCGTCTCTTACTTTGAGCATGTTGGCAGGAGGGACCAGTCTTTGAAGAAGAACATCATTCTTGGAAGAGTGGAGGGACAGCACAAGAGAGGAAGTCCTGGATGAGATAGATTGACAGAGTAAAGGGGATATTGGGGTATATTGTGTCAGAGGCAGTTAGCCTGGCTTAGGAGAGGGCAGAATTCAGAGCTTTGTGCACAGTGTTGCTGTGAGTTGCAGACAACCCCACGGCATATAACAATAATCCTTCCTAGCATAGCACTGATCCATTAGCTGGGATTTTCATTAATATCACTTGTTGATTATTTGAGGTGACACAGACAGTTAAGCAGAGTGGTTTGGTTGACAAATTTCAATATTCCGGTTAAGTATGACTATATGAAGTCCCATTCCAGATTTGGCACAGAAACAGGAATCGTTTCCTTTGATTTCTTTGAAGATATAAAGGTCTTTGATTCTGAGACTTTGTAGGTGGCTTTTTGTAGAAGATCAGTCACCAGGCGGGGCTTTTCGAGGTGCACTCAGAGTTTATTATTTTAAGACTGATGCAGATGGTTTGCACAGGCCCTGATTCATGACTTCTCAGTAAATAGATAATAAACTTTAGTAACGCAGATGTCTCTTGTTTATGTTTATGGCTGACATTCTTTTCACGCCACCGAACATACTAAGTTGGTAAATCTTTTCTCTTTCAGGGTTGTGCCTTTGGGGTCCGTGCAGACCGTGAGTGGCCACACTTTCAGAGGCTTCATGTCCCACTCAGATCGTTACCCTTGTGCATACCTCAATGCCGCCGCCGCCATCGGGATGAAGACGCAGGACGTGGACTTGTTTATCAAGAGGCTTGGCAAGTGCTTAAAGATAGTCAGGAAAGAACAGAGTCCAGGGAGTGACGCGTCTCAGGTTGACCAGGACACCACAACTGAAGACGGAGCCGTTGGGGAAATGGCTTTAAGACTCGACAATGTCCTTTCTGACATGGACCGGGATGCTTCCTCCTGAAAAGAGAAGGGGCTCTTTTTTATAACATGGGGCTTCTGTGCAAGCAGGGAGTTTAAAGACAATATGTCAGAGTTTTGATTTGAGAATTCATGGAGATTAGAGACTACGTACAGTGCTTTGGGCTAGCTGCTGGTCATGGGTTTTTTCTCAGACTGCCTCATGGCTTAACAGTTTAAAATAGCATTTTCCTAATTGTTGGAATATTTGTCAGTTGAGCACTATGATTCAGGTAACTTTTGCTAATTAAACTGACAGTAAAATTAGCTTGAATTCCTCTTTAAAATGTGGAGACAGCATCATCTTGACCGGTTTCCATCGTACACAAATTACCTACATTTCAGATCACACGGAACTTAGGAAAATCACTAACGTGCTCATTGCCAGATGTGTGTAAGGTGCAGGGTGCCTATAATATGACATTCCCAAGGAAGCCGGGTCAGAGTGTCAGCTTTAACTTTCACTCCAAAGCAGTGTATCTCAAGTGGAGGTGGTTCTGCAGAGATCCAAGCCTATGTCTGCGATCTTTTTGGTTGTCGTAACTGGAAGGGGGCTAGCAGCTTCTAGGGGCAGAGGCCAAAGGTGCTAAATATTCTACACTGAACAAGACAGCCTCCCGCAACTCACAGTTCTCCTGTCCTAATGCTCATTTTCATTGTCCAACTTCACATGTGTAGGGCAGTGAAAAAGGAAGACCAAAGAACTACTGACACCTTTGAATCTTTTGGTGATGGAAAGTATTGGATGTACCGTGGACTGTCAGAGGGTAAACTGCCTTATATTTTCACAGATAGCCTGCTCATACAAATACCACCCCACACACACACACGCCATGCAAGACTCAAAACTATGTAAAAAAAAATTCTAGCATCATGCATATACCATGTAGATCCTGTGATGCTTCTAGAAGTTAATTTTGGCCCATTTATCCTCAGTAGTTCAACATTGTCCCTTTTGATTGTGTTTGTTTAATAAAGGTGTCAGCCATAGTTAAAATTCATCAAGTAAGCAGCCAGAACTGGCCTTGCTCTGGGGGTGTTTGCGGCCAGGCCTGACAGTGGTGGAGTTCCATGTAGCTGATCTGTGCCCAGCTCTGTCCCGCCAGAGATGGGGGAATGGGTGGGGTGGGGGTTGGCAGCTGTGCAGAGTGCCTTGGAGAGGGCTTCCTTAGCCCAGACACAGGCTGGTCCGTGGCTGGCAGGGGCTGCTGCCCATTTGTACCTGGGTCCTCTGGTGCTAGCCCTTTGTGGGGTTCCCTCACCAGCTCACTCGTTGGACTCCTCACATGCCCGCTCTGATTTTCTGTGGCTATGCCTGCTCACTTTTGTTGGCCCTGGCGGGTGATGGAAATGGGCCACTGGCCGACTGAATGGGAGGGCTGACTGTGCAGGCTACACATAGCAGCCTCATTGCCTGGGTGGCCCCTGACGTGTGCAAACCTGCTCTCCTCCTGGCCTGGCCCGGCTGTGCTGCTGAGGCTGCTTTCTGAGGCAGGAAAATGTAAATTTTCTTTCTGCTTTGGTGGAAGCAGTTTACAGAGTGGTGAAGGAGTCCTGCCAGGGAACAAGCCGCTTTAGTAACTCGTGGGAAGATTGTGAAGGCCAGCTGAGAACCAGACCGCATCAACAGGCACCGAGACAGGGACATAGCCATAGCATCAAATCCATTGGACAGAGAACCACAAGGAGCTGAGGTGGAAGTTGTCAGTGTGTAGAAAGACAGTGGCTAGTACATTTATTAAAATAATGCAAAACATGTACTCAGTAACCATACTCATTGCTGTGGAATCAGAATTGATTCACAGCTGACCTCCAGTGGCTCTGCAGAGGCTGTAAATTGCCCAGGAGGAGACAGCCTATCCTCCTCTCCTGGAGAAGCCAGTGGATTCGAACTGCCTGCCTTTGGGTTGGTAGCACAACTGCTTGCATAAAAATAGGTTAAGCTAAAAAAACCCAACACCCCAACACAAGGTAATCTTCATTAGAAGTATGAATGTTTCTTAGAAGCAAGAATATGAGAGTTTGTTTCACATACTCTGGACAAGTTCTCAGAAGGGACCAACCCCTACAGAAGGTCAAGGGTCAGCACAAAAAGTGAGGATCCACTGATAATGGTTTGACCATGCATGGCTGCGGCCCTGGGCTCAACCACCATTCACTGTGGGATGACTGCGGACAGGGCAGTGTGCCAGCCTGGTGCACATGGAGCTGCTCCGAGTTGGAAGCAAGTCTGTGGCACCTCTCGACACCAGATGCCATTCGTTCCTCAGTTCAGAAGCCCTGCCACAGAAGGAAATTATCTCAGGTTGCCCGCCACAGTGTAGTTGTGCAGTGGTTCTGTAAAGAACAGAACTCTATAAATGCTATCAAACTCTGCTGCATTTGGAATCTTAACCAGTCACTGTGGTCAATACCTCCACAAGAAATTAGAAATGGTTTTGTACAGCATGTTTTGTTTATGTTGTGCATTTTTCTGTCTCTCCGACTAAAACTTTCTTCTACTTCCTTTCTTTTCTCTAAGCACCTGTTGTGTATTGGTTAGTTTTTTCAGGCCTTATGCACAGTCATCATCAAAGTTGCTTAGCATGAGTATTTTTTAGTTGAATTTTGCATGTTGTTATGTGCTGTCGAGGCAAATGTGACTCATAGTGCCCCTAAGTACAATAGCTCTGAACTCTTGCCATGTCCTGAGCCTGTCTCATTGTCTCCAACACACATAAACCCATTGCCCCAGTTACCATGTCAGTCCATCTCATCCAGGGTCTTCCTCTCCTGCACTGCCCCTCCTCCCTTCCAAGCATGATGTCCTTCTGCAAGGACGAGTCCTTCCTGGCCATATGCTCCAAAGGAGACAGAGCTTCAAAATCCTAGCCTCCAAGGAGAAACTTGGTTTCACCCTTTCCAATTTTGCATTGGGGAGGGCGGGGAGGTTAAATGATAGAGAATTATAGATAGGATTTCCCTCTAATTGCCAGGGTCATTTTATAAGTCTTCCTGGCTATAGTAATTATGTTTGTTGTTCATTTTAAGCAATAGACTGATGGCTCATATCCTAAGGAGTTAGTGCAAAGTTCTCAGTGTATCTGAATACCAAAGTGTGTTTCACAAATCCTCCTCTGGGGCATATTATCCCTAAAGTTCTTGAGTAAAATATTTCCTACAGATCACTGGTTCCAGAGACCATTGATCATGAGAAAAACTTTGCAAACATGCCCTTTGGCTTGTTGAAGTTTGAGAATTCCTTCAGTAAAGAAGTCAGTTTGAATGCATCTGTGACTGAAAGTGCTCATTTATAAATTAAATACTAGCATTCTATTGGTTTTTTTTATTTAAAAAAATCTTCACAACTGGACTAAACAAACGGTATCCTGAGAAACAAGAAAGTTCAAACTAGCCAAGGATTGATTGATTGATTTTTTTATTCATAAACAGTGTGGACATTATCAAATAATATCACTGATATCTCACACTAGCAATATCTTGCTGAAGATTATTCAGAAATGACTGGAACAGTATTTACCAGAAATACAAGCAGGGTTTAGAAGAGGTCATGTCACTGGAGACATTTTTTACAATGTCAGATGGATCTTGGCAGACAGCAAAGAGTACCAGAGGAATGTCTTACCTGTATATCATTGACTACTCAAAGGCATTTGACTGTGTGGATCACAGCAAATTGTGGCTAACCTTGAGGAAAATGGAAATCTCAGAACACTTGATTTTGCTTATGCAAAACCTATATTTGGACTAGGAAGCAGTCCTCAGAGCAGAGAAACACTGCATGATTCAAAATCAGGAAAGCAGTGTGTCAGGGATACATCCTGTCTCCATACCTTTTCAATCTATATGCAGAACAGATCATTTGGGAAGCAGGGCTTTAGGAGGAGGAATGTGGCATCAGGATTGGAGGAAGGCTCATCAACAGCATATGTTATGCAGATGACACTGCCTTGCTTGCTGAAATGGAAGAAGACCTGAAGTACTTGCTGCAGAAGGTCAAGTACTATAGTCTTCAATATGGACTAAAGCTCAGCATCAAGAAGACAAAGATTCTCACCACTGGGCAAATCAGCAGCCCCATGCTAGATGGAGAAGAGATTGAAGTTGTTAACAATTACAGCCTGCTTGGCTCCTCAGTCAACATTCTCAACACCAGCAGTCAGAAAATAAAAATGTGAATTGCATTGGGAAAATCTGCTGTTAGGGACCTCTCCAGAGTACTGAAAAGCAATGATGTCAGTCTAGAGACTAAGGTGCACCTAATCTATGCCATGGTCTTTGCAATTGTTATGCTTCAAAATGCTGGACAACTTTTAAGGATGATAGAAGAATTAATGCCTTCGAGCTGTGGTGCTGGAGAAGAGTCTTGAACATACATACCATGGACCGCCAAGAAAACAAATAGGTCTGTCCTGGAGAGGGTGAAACCAAGTTTCTCCTTGGAGGCTAGGATTTTGAAGCTCCATCTCACATACTTAGGGCACATGGCCAGGAGAGACGGTCCTTGGAGATGGACATCATGCTCAGAAGGGTGGAGGGAAAATGCAGGAAAAGAAGACCCTAGATGAGATGGATTGATAAAGTAATTGGGGCAATTGGTGTGTCAAAATTAGTGAGACTGGCTCAGGACAGGGCAGACTTGAGAGCTGCTGTACACAGGGTCACTGTGGGTCATAGGCGACTCGATGGCACATAACAATGACAGTCAACGCCCAATGGATCAGCAGTCAAGAAATCAATGTATTGCATTGGGCAGGGGCCTCTTTAAAGTGCTGGAGAGCAGGGAAGCAGCCAGGGTATCTTCACTTGCTTCGTATCCACGTGAAAGCTGGACAGTGCACAAGGAAGGCTGGCTCTCGTACCTGGGTCATGTTATTAGGAAGGGCCGGTCTCTGGAGACATCATAACTGGTATGGTGGCGGACCAGCAAGTGCAAGCCCCTCAAGATGAGCTGACGAAGTGACTGCAGCAAGGGGCCTGAGCTTAGCAGTGATGGTAAGGAGA